GTTTTTTCCCAACCCGGTGTCCCCGGGTTACCGGCCACAGCCTGTGTACACACAAAGATGGGTCCCCGGCTCACCCCGGCTCGCACATGGCAACCCAAATGGGATCGGGAGAGAGCTCGCACATGGCAACCCAGGCGAGATCGGAAGTCGGCCCGCACAATAGGAAGTAAGAAGAAGGCACCGGGTAACATGGGGCCCCTGCAGGATAGGCTTGGCAATCTGGTGATTGTGGCAAATGAAAAAGCTGACCTCTTTAACAAATTATTTGCCTCCATATTCCTGAACAGGGATTGGGACATCTCCAGCACTAGAATTGTGGATGGACCCAGGGGAGGCACCGCCATGCCTAGGGTCAGGGACAACCTAGTTAGGGAACTTTTGGAGGGGCTGGACGTGTTTAAATCAGTAGGTCCAGATGCTATTCACCCAAGGGTGCTGAGGAAATTAGGGGTGAGGGGTCATAGCGGGGCCCCTGGCATGGGTCTATGAGCACTTATGGGGCACTGGCGAGGTACCAGAGGATTGGAAAAGGACCAATGTGGTCCCCATTTACAAGAAGTGGAGAGAAGAGGACTCCAGCAATTATAGGCCAGTCAGTCTTACCTTGGTCCTTGGGAAGACCTTTAAGAAAATAATCAAGGAGCACATCTGCAAGGGCCCAGCAGGGGAGGTAATGCTCAGGGGCAATCAGCATGGGTTCATTGAGGGCAGGTCCTGCCTAACTAACCTGGTATCTTTTTATAATCAGGTCACAAAGTCCCAGGATGAGGTTGTCAGGGTGGATGTTGTCTTCCTGGACTTTATGAAGGCCTTTAACATGGTTTCCCACCACATTCTCATTAAACAAAAAAAACCAAAAAAAACTTGGTGACTGTGGCATTTATGCCTACACGGTCAGATAAGTGGCAAATTAGCTAGATGGTTGCACCCAGAGTGTGGTGGTGGACAGGTCATTTTTGACCTAGAGGGATGTGGGCAGTGGAGTCCCCCAGGGCTCGGTCCTTGGGCCTGTACTGTTCAACATCTTTATCAGCAATTTGTATATGGGTGTGGAATGCACGCTGTCCAAATTCGCTGATGACACCAAGTTGTGAGGTGAGGTCGGCATGCTGGAGGGAAGGGACATAATCCAGCTAGATCTAGACAGGTTACAGAGGTGGGCAGATGAGAGTAGGATTTAATTCAACGCAGACAAGTGCAAGGTGCTGCATCTAGGGAGAAGGAACCAGCAACACACCTATAAGATGGGGAACACCCTTCTTGTCAACATGGTGGCAGAAAGGGATCTTGGAGTCATTGTTGACTCCAGGTGGAATATGAGCAGCCAATGCGAGGAAGCGGTCAGTGAGGCTAACTGCACCTTGTTGTGCATCTACAGATGGATCACAAGCAGGTCCAGGGAGGTGATCCTTCCCCTCTCTGTGGCATTGATCAAGCCACAGTTGGAGTGCTGCATCCAGTTCTGGACACCATACTTCAAGAGTGATGTGGGTAGCAGTGAGAGGGTCCAGAAGAGGGCCACTCACATGGTCAAGGGGCAGAGGGCCAGGCCCTATGCAGAGAGGCTAAAGGGCCCGAACCTATTCAGCCTCCACAAGAGAAGGCTGAGATGGGATCTGGTGGCCATTTACAATCTCACCAGGGGGGACCAGCAGG